GCACTCAGTGAACTGCCCCACAGTGCTGGCGGTGGTGTGGCGCCCACCCGCCGTAGCCATCCGCAGCCCAACCACCGTCATTGGATTGGACTCCGAGAAAAAAAAAGGCGTCCACCAGCGAAGAGTTTGTGGCCCACGGTGTGTGCAGCACCCCGTGCTTCATTTTACGGGTCGTTTTTTCATATTCACTCGGCAGCAAACCTTCATCTCCCTTGGGATGCAATTCAGGGCCAACTTCAAGACGCAGGGCTTCGCTTGACGTCCTGTTGGCGGCTCAAACTCCGTGGGTTTCGTCGCTATTGCCTTGGCAAAGGCACTCTCCGTGAACGATTTCAAAGCAAGCCATCCAAAAAACATCGGCAAAATATTATCCTTCGACGCCAACATCAGCCTCAAAAGCTAATTTATTCTGCTACACTTGGGAGGCGTTCCAATGTCCGTTCCTCGAGGCAAGCAGATATCGGTGCATTGAAAAGGATCACACCGCCTGCGTATGTTTCCCGAACAACTTTCACAAGCCTGTGGGACGGATCCTCAGAGTACCATGGCGACTCACCTCCCCGTGAAAAGTACTCTTTCATAGTTACCTCGTTGATCGATTGCAATGCAAACTTCACCGCTCCACAGCGTCCATTAAACGCCTCCTCATCAAAGACGTGACGTGGAATCGGTCCCAAAAGATACATGTGTTCTTGACCTCTTTCCAGCACTCCGCCTGTTTCTCTTTGGTCCCGCCACGCGTTATCCGGGCGCACATCGCCTTCACATCCACCTCGTCGGGGCAATTCACGATGATTCTCGCGGCTTGTAGCTGCTTCTCCCACTCATCATAGTTGGCTACCTCTGGGGATGACACCGCAATCATGCTCCATCCAGAAGTAGGCGCAAAATGTCTCGGTGGCGGCGTTCCCTCCTTTGCCACATCGTAGATAATATACACATTCCTCCCGTGCCCCCTCAAACTTCTCAACTCCGAGATGCACATGCCCTCATCGCTGCATCTTGTCACCGCTCTGGTGGTCTTGTCAGACACGTACGCATCTCCTCCACCAAAACAGTGGACAACCACAGGGAGTTTCTCGACACCGCAGTGCAGCAGCTGGTAGAGGAGGTACGAGCCGGCAGCCACCGATTTCCCGATCCCGGGCGTCCCCATCAGCACACGTCGCTTGGGCTCAAAGTCGGTCACACCGTGAGGACTGAACCACGCGGTTACATCGCCCTTGACGGTCTGCCACGCTCGATCCACCTCACAGTTTACAAAAACGTCCTTAGGAAGATCCTGTATCGTATGCCACGAGTACGGCCATCCCCTCTCCGAGGTGAGCACCATCAGCACGGGAGGTGCCGCACCGAATTGCTGCACAGCGTCATTCTTTTCGATAGCGTCGTCAGCTTTCTTGTACGACCATGACTGTTCTGGCTTCCCCTCATGCACCCCCATTCCCGTCCCCGTTTTCTTTCGCTCCACGCCGTCCGGAAGTTCCACCGCATGGCTCCACCTCGCATTGTGCAGAGACTCATACAATCCCTCCAGTTTCATCGGTGTGCTCGTCCTCGTTGGGTTCCTCGCATCCTCGGCAGCTGCATCCAAGAAATGTTTGTTGGAGTTATGAACAGTTGCTTTTACCTCCGCAGCAGTTAATGACCACCCCGGTAGGTTGTTGACACCCTTATCGCATAGCTTGCGTATATCCTCGTCGAAGATCACTTCACCCTTCACAGCTCGCTTCATACTCAAATAATGACCGGATGCCTGCATTTCGTTCAACGCTCCTTTATCAGGGATATACTTCGTGGGGTCCTTGAAAAACTCCTCCGGCAAGACATCCCGATTGGTGTCCGCAACGCCCCTGCCGTCCAGTTCCATCGTAAGAAAGTCGTTCAGCCTCATTTCATTGACGCGAACTCCTCCTTTGAACAGTACGTCTTCGATATTAGTGGAAATGGTAAACTTCATTTCTTGCGTTCGTCTTAGCCTTTCCGCTGCCTCCCGCCTCGCTTCTGTCGGTACCTGCGTGAGTACTCCGGTTGGTGTTCCCTTGAAAGAGGAGTAATCGTATCCTTTTCTTTCATAGTCCCTACGTTGCCCGAAAGAGAGCACACCTTCGTGAAGAGGCTTAGTAATGGCCTCCAGCGCTTGGTGCGCAGTTAAGTTAAGAATTTCTTCAAGAAGCCGCTGGTCATGTACGTAATCATCCGGCTCCTGAAAAAACATCTCCATCGTCACATTGTAGTCTTTCATCAACGGCCGCCCTGCCGCCAACATAATTCCAAAGGAAATCACTCAGCCTCATGTTGGTGCTGCTCATGGTCCACTGCGGCCACACTTTACTCCCCGCCACATGTCGAGCTGCAGCGCCGGAACCATCACAAGAGCCGCGGCGATGTGCCATCACAACACCCGTGTGGTGAAGCATCCCACTCGCACCGCCCAACTGCGGCCAACAGGTGCCGCTGGCTCCAAAGGACAGTCGCGGCTGTTTTGTCCCGCAGTCCCAATGGCGTTGGGCGTGGCACTCGCACGGCTCGGTGGTCGGTGCGCCACGTAGCCGCACTGCAACGCCTGTCGGTGAAGCAGCCGAGGCCCACCGCCCCCGCAGCAACGCAATGTCCAACCAACCCCAACACCGCCACATTATACTCTTTTTTATTTTGCTTTATTCACTTTGTCGGTCTGTTTGCCCCATCACCGACACCAGTAATGAGTGTGCACATTCACGAAAGGATAAAAAGAGAACACGATCCCACCGTCACGCAGCGGGTCAACACTCTCCTCCACCCACCACCATTGTCGCACAGGAGACCGCAGTCACATCGCAGAGTCAGCACCACAATGCGCACCACGCCATCGTGCAGTGAACAATGGGCGAGACGCAGCCATGCATCGCCCCGCTCCATTTTCCCACCACTCAAGTATTGCGTGCCCGCACAAAGTAGCAAACACAATCAGAGTGCACACAAACCCAATCAACACCTCATTCGCTGAAGCACATTATTCGCATGGAGTGACAACATTTGAGGACACACCGGCAGTAGCAGGCTGTACGAAATTTCCCTGCCAACACCGCAAAGAGACACAACAACTATGCGGAGTCAAATTGGCATCCCCTCGGTGTTGCCCGCAGTCCACATGGCAGGAAGAATTCCACGCACGCATAGCTCCGGACTCCTCGCTGTTTGAGTGCCCAACGGAAAATGTAAAAAAAATACCTGCGCGCAAGACGGCATTTAAACACGTAAAAAGTCAGCCTGTTTTCTCCGATGGCGTTGGCGAGCAGTCCCACACAATCCAATCAAGGTAGCACGCCGGACAGAATGGCGTCCGTCAATCAATAAAAAAATGCGACACTGAAAAGGAGCAGTGAAGAGTTGGCGCATGCGATTGCCAGTGACAACTGTGAGCAAACCCGCCAGCACCAACTGAGGTGCCGAGGAGCACGCTTGTGTAGAACTGGCCGTCAGGCAGAGAGGACAAATAAAACAGGAGGGCAGCAAACCCTCTCGTTCAATGTCTCCTGACCGCGACACCAGAATCAAAATACCATGGACGATAAGAGCGGCAACGCCTTCTCCAAAACATCTTGTCAGGAGGCCGCAGGACCTCAGGAAGGGAGGAAGGCAGCCACAGGGGGAGGCAATAAAACGACTGGCAGGCACCTTCACGTCGACGCGCACACCACATCCGAGTGGACTGGGAGCACAGACCGAACCGCTCGGAAACACACGCATCAAATCCGCAAAACAAAGTCGCAGTGAATCGACAGGAACTCCCCGCCCAAAACAAATTTATAAAGTAGCGTTTCTTAAGGGGGAATCCGCTTTTCCGACGACGGCACGGACGCCTCGCAGGAACTTCTTGCAAATCTCCCTTCGCAGGTCCGCAAGAAAACGCAGCGGAATAAAAAGAGAGCGCAACGACGCAAAAAAAAAAATAATAATCCTCCCAACCGACCAGGTGGCAGGCTGCCCTCGCGCAAGTGGACAAAACACAACTTCACTCCGGTCTTGTGGTGGTGGTCGTCTCGCAACTATTTTTTTCCTTCGTATCGTCGCAGTGCACATCCCCCTCCCACAAATCATTTGTTCGAGCCATGCTCCTGCGGCCAAACATCGCGCTGCTGGATCCCGCGGCACAGTCCTCGGCACAGAAGTGAGGGAGGAAGAGGGACCGCAGAAGGTGCGAGCAAATCCGAATTCGGTGGCGGTCGCTGCAGCGAAGATTGACGTCCCACGCGGTGTCCCTTTTCTGGATCCGGTCCTCACCGCGCCATGCGCTCAGCGTGCGGTGCGCCGGCCGCTCAAAACATCCACACGTGCTTGCGTCTCACAGTCGCTCCCAGCCCCGTCCCTTGGCTGCATCAGGGATGCCGCCATCCGGAGACGGGCATAAGGACGCTGCATCCAACAAAACCTTCAGAGGCACCCGGTGGGCCAACGACGACCATCACTGCGAGATGTGCGGCCCTTCCGCCGCTCACCTCAACTCGCGCTTCTACGCCTCCTCGAGCAGCAGCAGCAGCATAAATACACCGGTCCACTAGGGGCCGTCACCAGCCATTGCAGGAAGACCACTGTGCCTCGATGCTATAAAACCCATATTGCATTGACGGGCCACTTCGGAAAATCCTGTCGCATCCTCCCCCATTATGCGGAAACACATCCGTCGTGCATGTGTACACCGCAGCCAAATGAATCTGGTCCAAATACCATCCGAATCAAATTCCCCTTTCCTCACGCCATTCCTTCACTCCATACGCCCTGCCCCCATCCGCACGTGTCCACTCACACAAACCGCCATAGAAAGGTGGCAGCCGCCCAACGCCTCGGAAAAACATGCCCAGCGCGCACGCGCATAACAAATGACATGCGCAAACGCACGGCACAACGGCGGGGAAGC